TAGGAACAGAGTGTGCCACGTGATGGATGATGTATTGTTATGCCGCTGCGCAAACTAGTTTGCATGCCGTGTGTGACTTTTGCCAAAAGGCAAGTGAAATTCAACAGCAACAAGTAAATCTTTGGTGACCTGATCTGCCTATTTCTTAAAATGTGTCTGTTAGCTTCCCATTCAGAATATGTACAGAATTCGATTTACATAATAGCACCCCCACACTGGGCACCATCATGTCAAAAGCCAAAAGGTAAGTAGAGCTGCAGTACTGGTGTGAGCAAACATTGTTATCAGCGGTCTCATACCTGGCACATACTCAAATGTTTGGCTTCTAACTTCTTGGTGTGTGGGTGGGTGCTATTTGTGTTAGGCAATGTGTTTCGTGCCTTCGCCTCATGCATAGATGAAGTGGTGGTGGTGATGAAGTGATGCCTCCAAAAGTGAAAATACAAACAAAACAATACGGCAGTTGCCTTTTTTGTTCGCAATCTGAAGGAGCCCTCGCTGCACCTGTAGTTGGCAGGTAAGGAAACTTTGCTTTCCCCTGCCTTGCCAGAAGCTCTACCACACTGTGTCCCAGTCTAAAACATGATGAAGAAAATGAGCAGTGAGTGACGGAAATGAATTCAAAATAAACACGGGTGCTAATCGATATGGCCACTGTGCTTCCAACAAACACAAGTCTGCCTAAAACCATCCAATCACTCTGCCTGTGTGTAATTTATGAGGAAGGTGTCACTTCCAGAATGATACGCCATGGGCGAAGAAGCCCAATTCACAAGAAAAATAGAAATGTTCATCCCTATGAGGAAAAAACAAATTCTTCTGGGGTTCTGTGCGCTTTCATTCGTAAGTTGATTGATCTAAGGGATGCCATAAAAGATAAGAGCTGAGTGCTGCATTCAAGTGGCTGTGAATGACAGATGAAATGAATACAATCTTTTCAGGCCACTCTTGTGAATTGTGATGAATGAAGTATGATGAGTGATTTATGAAACAGAGTTAGAATGCATAACACAAAGTATTGTTTGACATTTGGGAAGTGCACGTGCTTGGGAGAAGTACAGATTCACAGCGACCTCATACGCTGAATTAAAGCTGCGATCCAGCTCTAAAAGACTCATTTTTACTATACTGTTTAAATACAAGAGCGGCCCGGTGGTCCAGTGGTTAGTGCATTGACCTCACAGTGCAGAGGTACCGGGTTCAATTCCAGCTCTGGCCTGCCTCCCTGTGTGGAGTTTGCATGTTCTCCCCGGGCGTGCGTGGGTTTTCTCCGGGTACTCCGGTTTCCTCCCACATTCCAGAAACATGCATGGCAGGCTGATTGAACACTCTAAATTGTCCTTATGTGTGAGTGTGGATGTGTTGTGGATGTGTTCATCTGTGTGTGTCCTATGATTGGCTGGCAACCGGTTCAGGGTGTCCCCCGCCTACTGCCCAAAGACAGCTGTGATAGGCTCCAGCACCCTCGGCGACCCTTGTGAGGATAAGCGGATCAGAAAATTTGTGGATGGATGTTTAAATAAAAGTCAATTATCATGTCATGTTTTAGTTTTTCTATTGTTGCGTGATAAATCTGGAGAATTCCATCCAAAGCCTCCTATAGCTGCTGTCTCTATATTTCTTCCAAGGTCATAGACCCCACAAATGTTTCTGATGGATTATTGAAAGTTATCAAACCTTTTGTTTGTAAAACTTGCTCCGCATTGATTCGGTGTCTTGTTTACGTACCTGGTACATGCAATGAATATGAATAGTAGCCTGATGTATTCATTTCAACCTCAAACGAAATGCCCATACTCATGGAGAAAAAAAAATAGATATCTTTAAGTGATTACCAAGGCCACACAGCAGCCAACAAGTGTAATAGTCAATAATGAATATCTGGCAGCTCATAGCTCAACAGCAAGAGAGTCAGGGTGAAACATTAATGTTTTCTCTTGACATACATACAAATATATTCCTTTGCACTGTGAATGCAAGAGACGATTCTGATGTATTGTTAACATTTCAGGTTTACTTTCCAAGATTATTTGGGATTTTTTTTTTTTGACAAGAATATTTTTAAACTGACATTGATTGAGTTTTCTTGAGATTTTCAAAGTCAGAATCATTTCTATTTAATGCACATATTTAATGTGGAGAGAGCGGTAAACTGATGTATGTCGAGTTTCAGTCATGAGGGAAGGGGGGGTGACAATTTTCGTCAACAATGTCGACAATCCTTTTGAACAGTGCTATCGCAGCAGGCTCCACTTTACATGCGCACTGAATGTATCCTACTTTATTTATTCATTCATTTCCAAGTGGCCAAGTGCTGTCACTCTGATGAATGGGAGCTGGAAGTAGCCAATTGTTTCACTTGACAGGACAAGTCTCACATGCTCTGAACTCAAATGTCTTCCTTGCCAGAGGAGCTCTGTCATTGTTGTGGGTTTTTAGACACTCGTGTCACGATGCCACTGTGTTCGCACTCACACACTCTCCTGTCACAACCCCGATACCCCCACGGGGGAATTGCATTTGCAATTAGAATCTACCAGAAGAATTGGGCGTGTTCACTTCAATTTGATGTCCATTTCTCTGAATGCTCCGTGCCAGGTGATGATTATGGAGTTGGCTCCAGCGTTTCAGGAGAGTGGTGAGGACCTAAGAAGCTGCTGCGACTGGATCTATTTTTGAGACTTGGCTCAAAGCGTCCAATGGTGATGTATGAAACCAAAATAGTAAATAGCCCCAGTGATTGTTGTTTTGTTCAATCAGCTTATAGCGTATATTAATATTGGGAATGTTTATAATATCAGTGATTTGCCTAGTTTTTAGCCATACAGATTTTGAGTTTTGAGATCTGCAAAGTGAAAATCCTCCAAATTACATGAAGGTAGGTTTTTTTTGTTTTTTTGTTTGTTTTTTTTTTTTTTTTTGCCAATTCAGCTTTGGTAAAAGAACAAACCAATGTTCCCTCTAAGCCAGAGGTAGCCAACCAGTCAGAGACTAAGAGCCAATTTGTTTACTGTGTTACTGCAAAGAGCCCCACACACACACACACACACACACACACACACACACGCACACACGCGCATGCACGCGCGCGCACACACACACACACACACACACACACACACAATAACCAGTTTCTCAAGCATATTCTATAAATTTTCATTTAAATGAATAATAAATAAGTGTTCTCTTCACACTGCCTCTGAAATCAGGCTTATCTGTATGCATGAATTTCGTAAAGGCCATTGAGAATGAAAAGCCTTCTTACCTATCTGATGTGATAGAATAAAAGGAAAGAACTCATTCTCTTTTTTTTTCCCCTGTATTTTTTTCCCTTTTGTTGCCAGTTCCTTGGTTACCATGGAGAGGCCCTCGGAGTTAAGGAAACTCTGCACACACTGTCAGTCAGGAGAAACAGCTGTAATCATCTTTTATTGTGAAGTCACAGAATGAATAAAGAGAACAGAGATCCTCAGCACTATACGAAATCTTTATGTTGAGCAGTGGTGCATCACACCGGGACATTGGTTGTGTCGGTTGCTGCTGGTTCTGCCACATTTAATCAATTTCAACAAATGTCTTAATTTGAGGACTGTAAATTCAAAAAGATATGCTTCTAAAGTTGAGAAAAATTCTGAGTTGGCACACCGGTATAAAATGAAGCACTGTGCTTTATATTCAGTTATCTGCCCATAGAGAGACCTAAGTCTGTATGCAATGGCGCAGAAGAAGTGTGTAGAAGAAGAGGAATGGCAAAATGATCAAATCGATCTATAATCTATTTATTACATTATGCGAAATACTGCCAAGCCTCTCAAAAAAAAAATTAAGTACAGGTGAAATAAATCCTAAATCCATCATACTGTTGCATTAACCACTATTTCTGCTGTTACCAAACTGTCACTGCTGAGAAAGGCTTTCGAATGTGATTTTTTTATTTTCAGCAATGCTAAGTGAAGCTTGACAGGCAAGCCATCTGATTTTTTTTTTTTTTTTAATCGAGTCACTTTAGAGAGAATGTTTAGGCATGGCACAAGGTGTTGTGGGAATCTGGATCCCCAGCTGCACTTTGCAGATACACAAGCCAGCACATTGCTGCCCAGACCCATCAACATGTTGAGGCTTGTCCACTATCTCCCGGGGCACGCCACAGTGCCATATGAGGGATTAAGGCTTTTTATGAAGGATTTTGAGGGCCAGAGGTGTGAGCAGTCGCACATAAGTATTGTGCCATTTTCTTCAGCAAGTCTGGACTTTTAGTTGCTCACTACTAGAAGATCAGTCTGTGCAAGATTGATTGGGCTGGACACGAGCTATTGTGATCTCTTACTTTACAGAATCGTCGTGTCAAAAAGAATAATTTGAATCTACCTTCATTTAGCAGTCTATCATTCAATTTATTTTCTTCTCAGCAGCCTGCTTCTATTTTCCTAACAAAAATCCTGAATGAAAGAGCCATCTGGATACAGGCTGTTACAACATTTCCCCATTAAATGCACAATCTGGGACAATTAACAATCACTTTGACACATACGAGATAAATTGCATTTGAGGGAAACCCATTTGTTAGGGCCTTATCTCTAAAGCTGATCAAAAGATGGGATTATCCATTATCACGCCGCAATAGAAACGATGACCGTTTAAGATTTGTACAACAGTTTGCACCACTCATTTGAAAAGGAGAAGACAAAATGCTCTGGTTTGTGTCCAGTAATACACATTGAACTGTTTCATCGGGGCACACCACTCCCCACCCTCAAATCTCAGTTATCTCTTGGCACTGTGCTTATTATCATACTGTAATACAATACCATACAATATATTGTTTTTTGTTTGTTTGCGATATGATAAACAATGCATGTCCTGCTCGATATATCCATCACGTGTCATTTCAGTGCAGTACTGTATTTGAACGCTGTCCTCGGTGCTGGAACTTTAACCTCTGTGCTATTTCTGCCACCCAGTGGCGGCTTTTTGTTCCAATAAACGGAAGAAGCAGAGAAAGCCCCGGAACCAACTGAAGTTCGTGTTTCTCTCGGTCGAACATGCGTGATGCACCGTAGGTACCTGCGTGTTTACATCATATAATCTTATTTGGTAAGACTGACAACTTTCAGGTTTTGCGTACAGCGTTGCATAAAAAAAAAAAAAAAAGATTGAACCATGTTTAACTTGCTCTCGTGATGTTAACGATGATAATGACACATTACTGAACGCGCGCTGTTTGTTCGCCGCAGTTTCCTCGAAGATGCAAGGTTAAGATGTTGCCAGTGTTGAAGACGAATTTATAATAAATACCCAACCTTGCACCTTAAATCGCACTAAACTGGATGAATGTCAAACACCGCTTTAATGTGTAAATTTGATGTTGACGTGTAGGCTTATTTATTATTTGTGTTAATATGTTTGTCCACGGTATTTAACGTCCAATTTTATTTTAGGAACATTTCACGACTAAATATTAAAGCGTGCATTTGTGGGATTCACCAAGGCTATGGGCCATAAATGCAATTCATAGTGCGAGCATGCATCACACGCCATCTGTGTTAAACTACAGCACGGGTCATCAACATAGACTACATGAGTAACCAGCTGCCCTGTTATTAAAAAAAATGCTTATTGATAGGACATTGTGATTTCCGAGGAATGTTGTGCAAGGGATTATTTCAAAATGTCAACACTTGCTGGGATTTATAGAAATATAGTGTTGCATATTGACATTTATCGTTTTCCTATCTTGTTAAATCCTTGTTAAATTTAACTATCTTGTTAAATATTAAAAAATAGCAAGAAATCATCACGATGATCAATGTATTCACATGGGTGAATAATATTTACATTTTAACATATATCACATTTGATTCAAGATACACTGATCAAATATATCACACTGGTATCCCGATGCATCAATCAGAACCCAAAATGTTGTTCTCATTTGAAAATGTTGGTGACCCCTCCACTATGGTGTTTTCCAAATTTGTCTTTGTAGTTGTACTTCTCTCTACTTCATTAAGTGAATGGACTGATATCAGCCAGCCACGATGCTAAAAGATCTTCCTCGAGAAGCTCTGCTCCGGCCATTGACCAGGACTGAGGTGGTGAGCATGCTGTTGAGGCTGACGATCTTTGGAGCAGCCACCTACTACAGCATCAAATGGATTGTGGAAGCAATGGACCCCACTGCTAAACAGAAAAGCCAAGCCAAAAAAAGGGTATTTGTCTTGTTTTCATTGTTAAAATTAAAACCAAATGTGCTACTTTAAGAGCATCTGGACCAATGTGCTCCCAGGCAGAACAGCTTATGAAGAGGATTGGTGTTGAGGGCGTCAAACTCACTGAGTATGAGATGAACATCGCATCACAACTAGTGGATCCACAAACAATGAAGGTAATGGTTAAAATCCTCATAAATCAAGAATGAAGACTCTTAAGGCCTCAATTAAATAATATCATTTGTTGTACACTGTAAGAAATGTATTAATTGAACATTGTATCAATCATTGGGGTGTTGGTTTGCGGGGTTTTCGAACACCCAACTGCATTACAGTATATTGTTTGGCGTTAGTTATATTCTGCTCCAGTTTTGAGTTGGACTGAACAATAAATCAAAACGAAATTGCGAAGTAGCATAATGGAATTTTCAAATAGCAAAGGCTGCAATTTGGGTGTTGACCAGGGACGGGAGAAAAAAAAAAAAACAGGCTGACATTACCGTCAAATCAAGCAACAAATGTTACTACCTCCCCTGAAGCATCTCACTCACTCACTCACTCACTCACTCACTCACTCACTCACTCACTCACTCACTCACTCACTCACTCACTCATCCACCCAAAGCAGCATTTCACCCTAGTGGCAGAATAAAGTGTTTTAATGGCGTGGCCACTGGTCAGATATGACGTATACGTACTAGATTAGCAACAAAATTTATGGACATGCATGAAAAGGAATGCGTGCACACAGGCATATGTTGAGATTACCACGATTTATACTCACTGAACATTGAATTGAACTGAATAAACATGACTAATAAGTCATTGTTTAACATATCATCCACAATCATGGTTTCAAAAAAAAAAAGCAAATACATTTCTGAGTCGCTTGCTATCAGCCAATCAGAGTGATCAAATGTCACAGAAACTTCTTGCCGATTGATGGCTCGTTAATTCTAAAAAGCATGTTCTTCACATGCACAAAGACTGAACTGATAAACTTCAATATAAAAGCAATTCCTAAATAATTTGTGAACAGAAATTAACAAATACATTGCTATACATTCATGTAATTTTGGAAATACAAATAGTTTTTATTACAGATGAATCACAAATTGACTTGCGAAGTAAATACTCACCTTTGTAATAATTTTCACTTTATTGCTGATAAATGGGCAAAAGAGTGGAGCAGAACATTTTCCGCAATAAAAAAATATATATTCAAGAATTAAATTCTGCAGATTTATTGGCCACACTTGCACAAGTCAATGAAAAATGTAGTTGCACTGTCTCAAGTTTTCGGGACAAAATACAGCCATTGAGGAGCAGTCTGGATACCTGCATTAGAAGAAGACCCTGAAAAAAAAAATTGCCTCAGTGGCAGTATACTAAACTCTACTATTATACCGAAAAACTCTTCCAGCATAAAAAGCATACATTACAGATCCTCCATTCTGCATTATTCAGCAGCCGAACAGGACCCATAAAAAATATACATATTAAACCGCAGTCACAATCTTGAGGAAAACAATTGAAATAAGATTCATTCAGCCCTCGTTCTGAGCAAAATAAATTCAATGGCAGGACAGTTTTTAGTGTGCAACCTAATTGCTCTTAGAGGGACAAATTCTCCGCTTTTAACAATACTTTGTCTCGCTGCAGGTGTCCTGGAGAGATATTGCAGGTCTTGATGAGATAATCAATGAGCTACAAGACACAGTCATTCTGCCCTTTCAGAAAAGACACCTTTTGGCTGGATCCAAACTCTTTCAGCCACCAAAAGGTAACTCGTTCATGTTGTAAACAGAACAATGGACAACCATTGGAAAATCTCATTGCACTCTGGACAGAAGATTATACTTCGATGTGAAATAATTTCAACACCCATATACAGAAATAATGTGGTCACAGGCTATTTTACAGCATAAGCTTGAAGCAAATATAACAGAGCTAATATAACACGATACTGTATTTTCGGGGAGGCAACATCCCCTTGGCAAGTGCAGTTCTGTCAGGTTTGCCCTTGTCTTGTGCCAGCTTGATCGACTTTCCAGTTCTACCGCTTCAGATCTATTTACTGTTATTGTTGTTGCACTTTCCTTTACACCATTACAAACAAAGCTGGGCAAAAAACATTTTGATGAATTATAAAATGAGGCTGGATTTATACCCAATGCAGGTCCAAGTGCCTCTTTCCGCTTTAATGCCTATATCAGAGTGTGTGTACATTTCCGGTGACGCGGCCGATATGGCTGTGTTTACACTGATAGAACACATGAAACAACCTGCAAACGCAGATGTGGAAATGCACCACAAACGTAAACACAGAGCAGTGACAAAATGGAACAAATAAACAATACAAATATTAAACATTACAAAATGTTCAGTTGGCTAGGGCTGACGCTTCCCCCATTTTTTTAAATGAGTTTGACCTCCATTGCCGACTCTGATGTAGTGTATTTATATCATATTACTCGCCCATGCTTTTATTGTTGTGTAGATCGCTGTATTTTTTCTTCAAACTCTGTCATTGTCAATTTGCTATATCTGATGAGTGCATTTACTCTGCACACATATTGGCAGATACTGTATCCGGCACATACTGTATCATAAGCATGCAATTGGAAGATGGCTGTTTCCAATGAAAAGTTATCTGATTCCGATGCATTTTTTTCTATTTACACTTCCATGATTACATGAATTGTTCCTCTTGCAATAAATCTGAATTGTGTCACTTGAAATATGCAGTGTAGAGCCTAAATCCAGCCTGAGTACGATAACAGCAGCTGCAAATATTAGATCAACTCGTTTTAATGACAGCCTTACAGGCAAGTGCCTCCAATATCCCCTCTTCCTAGTTAAAGGAAGGCTTCATTAATTTTACTTGTGTGGCTTGATTGGTAGTAATTGATTAATTTATATTAATATATTCCACTTTTATGGCAACATTTTCAATAACACGGGTACATCCATGTTGAGGCCAACAAGACACAATATGTGTGCAGATTTACAAGCCGGATTATAAATCAGATGTTCAACAATGAAGAGAACACAAAGAAAAACGATTTCACAATGCACTACAAAAATTTGCAAGGGTTTGACCAGAAACAACCCACAAGGAGGCACACTGGCATCTTATTTCAAAATTTCCACGAAAAAGTTACACACATTTTGTCGAGCTCCTGGTGTGCACAAGGACAAGCAAATTGTACATATGTGCAGTGAACATTTCAGGTTTGATGGACTATGAAAATATTTTACAGTTTGAGATGGGACACACCATGCAGGAAACATGAAAAGCCAACGCCATACCGAGAATTTTTAACGAGACGGAGGTGAGAGCTGATCTGCCGCAGGGGTGATCTGTGGGCCTCCTCGCCTTCGCCGTCCCTGCCGTTGTTTGTGAGGCGTTACTTTCAAAATGTGAGCAGAGGCCACCAGCTAATACCACTGAGACACCGGACCAAAGCACTCTTTTGATCATACACGCAAGGCAGCACAAATTAATTGGAGCAGGGATGGGCAATTGCGGCATATGGGCCGCTTAACCACACTTAGAATGAATTGCTGTTAAATAATCCCCCACTCCCCTACCAAAGGAAAAAAAAAAAGACAAGTGACGCGTTTTGATGTCTGAGGGAGGCATCTGTGGTTTTTATTTTCAAGTCACACTTCAAAAAAAAATAATGGAGGAGAAGAAATTGGATTTAACGTTAAAAGGCATCATGCATAATATTTTGCCAGTAACTCTGCTCATTATGTCGCTTATGTAGTGCGCACATCCATGGCCTAAATCGAAAGATAAATTAATCAGGTGCCACCAAGTTTGTATCTTTTGTACTTGAAAATTCCTCTCCGCTCTCAAATTAAACAGGGCAAAGTATTGCCAAGCAGTCACATGTGCTGCCTGTAATTCTAATCTTGGTTCTTGTAAGTCTTAAGTGACCCAAACAGCAAGTTATTTGTTTCATTATTTATTTTTAAGTTAATTGGCCGATGACTCAGTTATCTCGGTTGTTTTCTGCCAAATATCAGACTCAGCCTTGGTCTCCAAAAATCCGTATCAGCCAAGCCCGAGATTCAAACAGTCACTACCTTTTTTTTCTGTTTGCCTCCAAGTTTTGTGTAGGGATTAGACAACCCCCAAAATGTGTGCTCTGTGAGCCTTGTACCATTTTTAGTCTCCATGTTTTGTGTATCTACTCTGTGAAAAGCGTAAACTCATGGGACCCAAGCCAGCCTGAAAAAAATGTTCTGTTCTGCAAAGTTATTGAAAATGGTGTTGTTTTCTTCCAAATCCTGGAAAGACGTGTGTGTGTGTGTGTGTGTGTGCGTGCGTGCGTGCGTGCGTGCGTGCGTGCGTGCGTGTGTGTGTGCGCACGTGTGTACGTTTGTTTTATATGTATATGTGTATATGTACATGTATGTATATGTGTGTATGTACATCTATGTCTATGTGTATATCTACATATATGTATATGTGCAGTATATCTATGTGTGTGTGTGTGTGTGTGTGTGTGTGTGTGTGTGTGTATATATATATATATATATATATATATATATATATACATGTGTGTATCACTGCACTTGCAACAGTACAATGGCTTGTTGTAGTTGTAGTAATACACATTTACATTTTGTTTTAAAGAACAGCAAAGAGCTCACTAGAATAATGTAAAATGAGTAAGACCTGTGACTGTTTTGTCCTTGCAGGTGTTTTGTTGTTTGGTCCTCCAGGCTGTGGCAAAACCATGATTGCTAAGGCAACAGCCAAAGCTTCTGGCTGCAAGTTTATCAACCTGCAGGCATCGACGCTGACCGATATGTGGTATGGCGAATCGCAAAAGCTCACAGCTGCTGTCTTTTCATTGGCGGTCAAACTACAACCATGTATCATTTTTATTGATGAAATTGGTGAGTGGATCAAACAGGATGCCTCTCAAGCACGTATTTTAGAAAATGTTTACTTTTGTATGTATACTGTACATATAGCGAGCAATATTGTCACTCCATCGATGGCGGGATGAAAATAGCTGCATATATCAAGATTCACGCTTAACCACAGGAAGTCAAAGTAAAGATTGTTATATACAAAGTCCAAATGCTCACAAATGCTTGATCAAATTACAATACAGTGGGTTCCAGATTAGCCATATTCTGTTTTTCTGATTTTCCTCAATAGTGATTTACAGTTAAACAGTTTCATTAATATAAGTGTTGCACAAAGTCCCCACAATGAGTTGTTTTACAAAATTACAAAAAAAATACACAATTCCAAATATTATGCACAACAGTTTAAAAATGCCAATTGACTGCAAAGAACTTAAAACTGCAAAGAAACAAACAAAAAAAATCTAACACTTCACAGAGATCTTTTTATTTCCGTCAAATGCTATATCGGACAAATATGCCAATAAATTAGAGGTAAAATCTTGAGTCTCTCTTTGATATCACATGAACAACTTCCTCCTCCAGTTAAATGCTAAATTGACTGCTTGTTTCTGCCGGTATCTTAACTGAGGATGCATGAATCTCCTCCGTGTTGCTGTTCAGTGATATCACTATACCAGGTGGGCAATTTACAAAATTTTGTCAGTACGCCACTCGTCATCCGTCTGTGGCCTGGGCACCCATCCGTCATTGTCAGTCCGTAATGCTTTCAAGTTGAACCAACCTGTAATCATCAGTCAGTCAGTCTGTCGTTATTTTAAACGCACTTCCGTCATCATTTTCCTCTGTAAATTTCACCCAGTAGCTGAGACTCAAGTTGCATTTTCTGCAGCATGGGAGAATGCATTGATGAGCATCAGAATGATGTGACTTTTGGAAAGAAAGGTTCTTTTTACACCATGACGGGAAATGGCCAGTTTGAATTTCCACATATTTTTAAGAGGTAATTTTGACACCTCAAGGCACCCTTATAGAAAAAATAAAATATATAAAATATCCACACACACACATGAATGAATGACAGGAATTGACGTCTTTGTAACTTTGTATTACACCACGCAATGCCCTCTGGGAACCGAGTGGCTCGATCATAGGAAACGCCTCTGCAGTGTTGCCGTGTTTATCTGTGTCACAAAAACAATTGAAAAAAAAAAGTGTGTATCTGCTCTGTCTAGATAGCACATGCGTGAGGCTAAAGTTGTAGAGTTCAATCATTCATTCTCTGAAATAAAAAATATATATTGTGGTTAAAAAATAGTAATAATAATAATCTTAGTTGACAGTGACAATGCATATCCATGATTGCATTTTTTTTTTTTACTCTATGAGAAATAAAGTGTGGGGAGGGGAAAAAAAGAAAGAAAGGCGCACCATGTTCTGGATCTGGTGATGCCCTCAAAATTGAGTTGGGTTACTCTTACGGTGTACTTGAACACATGGGAAAACGTACCAGGGTATTGTTCCTAACTCCAGAATTCCAATCATAGTTCTGTCAAACGGTAGCAATTATTGTAATCCCACTTTGATCTTCAGGTGTATGAATTTTTGATTTTTTTTGTTCATCAGAATCATTTCTCAGGAACCGCTCCAGCCTTGATCACGAAGCTACTGCCATGATGAAGGCCCAGTTCATGAGCTTGTGGGATGGCATGGAAACTTCCTCAGCCACCCAGGTAAATACAAGCACTTACTCACACTCTGTGACTAAAGCTGCTTGTGTCTGTTTGGAGTTGCACCCAGATCATTGTTGTTCTCTATCAACGGCTCTTAGCGCTATCATTGCTGTATCATTGTGTCTATTTTAGGTGATGGTCATGGGGGCAACAAACCGACCACAAGATGTAGATCCTGCTATCCTACGCAGAATGCCCACCACGTTTCACATTGGCCTTCCTGTAAGAACTTCCTTGCAAAAGCATGTTCAATCTGTGAAATATTGTATATTCAGAAGAATATTGAACAGTATCGTTACTGTACAATACATACTGTAAATACACAAACACTTAACTCTTTAATTCCCCATGACGTATAAAAAAAACACTACGGCCACCTATCCATCATGTATTTTTACGTCTTTTGCGGTTTTTTTGCGTCATCGTGATAGTGTGAGGAAGGGTCTAACTCGGGCTCCGACTCAGGATGAGGCTTGTCTGTTTTGGAAATGATTTAAGATCTGTCCAGCAGGTGGCAGCAAGTGTAAGCCATCAGCCAGAATCATGCTGCAGAAAAGTAGAGGGGGAGGGACGCAGGGGGCCGCTTGTGGATTAGGAGAGAGTGCCTTCAAGATAGTAGTAGAAATCAAAACAATTAACCCTTGATTATTGCTTTTGGGGAAGAAAATCTTCCACCAGGCATGACAAGGGAGATGAAAGCACGACACTTGGGACACTCTTCACTGAGTTAACACTGTCCTTTTTTAGGGAACATCATTATTTAATGATGAAACGATGACTACAGAATGAACAGATTTTAGTTCTTGCCATGCCTGGTTAGAAATAATCATATGGTCATCCACAAACACCTTTAAGCAATAACTTTTTGGAATTGAAAACTGACAAGATCCGTCATGGCCAGTGTATTTATTTAATAAAATGTTCATTGGGATTTATGTGATACACTATAGGGCCGGACGATTCATGAAAATTCAAATCCTGATTTCAATTTTGGCTTCTATTGATGTTTAAAACGTTTCAATTGAAGAAAAACGATGAATTTGCAGAACGTGTTGAAAATGGATGGATGGATGGATGGATGGATGGATGGATCTGCTGTTGTCATTCAAGGTGTGTACTCCATCCATGCACGGCAGTACGCTGTCCCTAAGAGGCCAAAAGACACAAGAACAGCCGGCATTTGTTCTTTCTAATTGCTATTAATGTAATATAGTCTTATTTACTTTCTTACATGTTTTCTTGTTCTCCTTTCAAGTTATATTTAAGTTGAGTTTTCATCGATTCACAGACTTTTCCTTTTCTCATACCGGTAATTCAAGGATGCAAAGATCCACATTTTTTACCAGAACACTTTCCACATGGCACGAAAATACAATCCCCGAAATCCCATGTTAGATCCCAAGATTTGTGAAAATAAGAAGAATAAATGTGATACAGAGATGAGGGTCATGGTTATTTAATGCTCCAATCCATGCATCGATGCAAGGCATAGATGTCGCTGCAAAATTAAAATGCAAGACCCTTGAATTTCACATGACATTTACAAAGTCATTTGTAAAAACAGATTATTAGAGTGGACAAGATTAAAATGGTCAACGTGCGGGGATGTACGGGCCGTGATGATAGTTTTGAGAAGAGTTTTAGTTGCCACGTTTTGAAATCAAATCATCGTTTTAATAAGCATGATTTCAATCTCAATCAAAATAGGATTGTTATATTTTCCGTAATCATCCAGCACTAATATAACACCGCCACTAAAAATTGTCCTTTATTTTGCTTTTTCTGCAGGACTCAAAACAAAGACATGACATCCTGCGGCTGATATTAGCGGAAGAAAATGTAAGGTGATTTATGCGTGAAAAAAGCACAGTGGACTTTAAAGACTGCCTTACAATTATTCTGTCATGTTACCATCCTGCTTTCTGTTGGGCAGCTGAGCGCCACTATTAATCTGAAAGAGATCGCTGAGAAGACAGACGGATACTCGGGCAGCGACTTGCGGGAACTTTGCCGCGACACCGCCATGTACAGAGTTCGAGACTACGTCCGCAAGGAACAGATGAGGCAGATCGCCCAGCAGTTAGGAGAGGTCCAGGAAGACGAAACGTATGAGCCACACCCACCGCAAATCAGCTCAGCTTCTTATTTGCTTCACAGCAGCAGTCTCAAATCCATGCTTGATGCAAGGTGAAATCACGAATTGTGAATTAACACACAATAAGGTTTATTATAAAGTTCCATGCTCACCTTTTGCTTGCACGTTACGGAACGCCCGCTCTGCTATATATAAATAAACGTCACCATCACAGGCAAGTTTAACCTCCGCAGACAGCAGTTGAAGTGGTGGATGTCATGGCTCGATGGGCAAAAATAACTCAATAATAAAGTCACAAAATTGCTCCGTTTTCTGTGCACTTCAATTCGGCAGTCATTAAGTTTTGCCGTACGTCATGGTGCACACTCAGGTGATCACGTGACAAAGCTGCATGCGCTCAATATGCTCTCCAGCAAGCAATTTGCAGATAGTCAACAATATTAAAAAAAAAAAAAAAAGGCCAGTCGTTTGCTTCAAGCTGTTTATAGCCACTCCCACTTGAAGTTTACTGTCAAACTAAATATAAGGTATAGTGAATTACACATGTATTTAAACCAACCACATAAATTTGCTTTAGGAAAGGCTACTAGCTAAATGCTAACAGACAAAGGATAATGCCATATATGGGCTAAGAAACAAAATCAAAATGGTGAAAGACGATATGAGGTAGGAGTGTTTTGAGTTTGACTTGACGAGTTTCACTTTTTGAGTTGCATTATCCGAATTAATGAACGAATGCATTCACTACTTTTGTCCACACCACTGTAAACTACAGGCACAAATACAATAATAAATCGTTGAAGGTCGTTTCTGACAATGTCAATATCGAGCAAATGTTATCTATGTAAAAGCAAAATAATGACTCTTGTTTGAAAAACTATTGGATTATCTGTGTTCTCATTGTAAAACTGTAAACCGAACCATTCATACCTCTGGCTGTGTGTTGTTAGTAATTTTTGATGTTGGGTTCTGCAGACCCGTGGATGAGGATAGATTGCGACCAATCACCCAGCTCGACCTCCTCTTTGGCCTGGACAAGATGAGGGAGTCCAAACGGGGCACGGCGACCATGTTACTGACTGTTCCCGAGGTTCCGCTGGACTAAATGTCTTTTAAGCTCCCCCCCCCCCCCCCCCCCCCCCCCCCCCCCCCCCCCATCTCAGTGATGCCCATCAGGTACACGCCTCTTTTTGTCTTGACCTGTTTCTTCTGCACAATGGACAGGAGGCCTCACTGAGTTTGTGACTCTTCTCTGTTGAGTTATGCAAGAAAACTCCGAGCCATGTGCAAAACGACTACGGTATTTGTCATGAGAGCATGTTTTCTCAAACCCAAGACCCATAAGCAGTAGATGAAATTATGTATTAGAATAGAAGCAGAACGGTACAGAAACGTGGAACTACCAATGTGGAGTCAAAATTGTTGCCTGGCAAACACATTCAAATGCATTTGCAAATACATTCAGACATACTGACATTCAAATGCACACGTTTGAACATATTTCCAAGTGCATTTGAACATATTTAAGTACGTTTGAACATATACGGAAATGCGTTGAAACAAACTTGCAAATGTGTTTGAACATACTGGTAGGCTAAATGCTCAAAACGTTTTTTTTGTTTTTAAACGGATTTTTTTTTCCCCATAATGCCACAGGTCATTGACTTGCAAAACAACAAAACAAAAAAGAAACTATTTATACACATACAGTCGGCACAAACATTCTTAAAACTCTTACATAATGCCTATGAAACATATGTGCAAATTTTTCATATTGGATTGAAGGATAGATCGATAGTGGGTACTGTGATTAGATGTTTAAGAATAATGACCTCTTTGTATGTTAGTGTTGTTGTTCTTATTATTGCGATGATTACTGTTATTATTCTTATCCGTCCACCCATCCATTTTATGATCCGCTTATCCTCCCTCACAAGGGTCACGGGGCGTGCTGGAGCCTATCCCAGCTGTCCTCAGGCAGCAGGCAAAAGTCCTTCCAACTACGCTGGAACGTATTTGCCAATCCAAAATGTTTACTCCACATTGGCAGTTCCACGCTTCCGTAGAAAGGAAATAATGTGTTGGTAAAATGTACTTGCTCCATAATGCATGTTTTTCAGAAGAGACCCTCCGTGTAGGCTGTTAGCACACAAAAATAAAATTTTCACACCCACATTCAATCATAAAAGCTCAATGCAGAGAACTTGACGAACACTGATGCATATGAATGAGCCTGCTGTTTTTAAAATAGTGAGTCATGGTAACAACGAAAAGACACTATGCATTATTTCCAATCTGCCAGTGTGGTGATTTTATGTAAATGAACCTGGGTGGACCACATTGGGAACAAGGATATCCTTGGTGATTGAAGGACGATATTGAAGAAGAAAATGCCTGCTGCTGTATACCAGCAATACAAATACTGTTGGAAAAGTGGGATTGTGTTGTTCCAAAAAGGGCACCACTCAAGAACCTATGATAACAGGAATAGGGTGGCATCTCAAACAAAAATGTTTCAGTATGATTCATAAATCAAAAAGTATATAATGTGGTATGTAGTATTAAATGGTGCATTGAAATGTGTGTTCCCTACTGGTCAAAAGGTCACATTCAGACTTCTAACAAAGACATCAAATGTTGATTGTCTGCACTTTGTGTTTCCCTTACATTCCCATTTGTCTTTGTATTTTATCCATAGTTGTTTTATCAGTTCAGCATATATGCAAGTGTCTTTGTGTGCACGTGTGTGTATATCTTGTCCCTGTCCTGTAAAAAACATTTACTGGTATGCCCTTTTTTTTTTTTTTTTGTCTTTTTAACATTTCTGTACGTTATTGAGATATCCTAAACGTCGCAGCCAATCATTTTGTAGTGGGGCGAATCCTGCCTCTGAAGCTGTCCAGTTGTGTGTTGTCAAGCCTCAGTATATGGTCTGATGGTGTCATAGGTCGGTTAAAAGAATATTGGGGAGCAAACATTAAGTCCAAGGCAGGTTCCGGATAAAGTTGAGGAGCAGTTTATAGCAAGATTAGCATTTGAAAAGATTTCAAAAGCTTCACACATCTCGCGGGGCATTGTTCGATCCATCCATGAAATGGAGAGGCAGGTTCGGGATGAAGTTGAGGAGCAGTTTAAAGCAAGATTAGCATATGAAAAGATTTCAAAAGGTTTCCACACTCGCGGGGCACTGTTCGATCAATCGTCTTTAAATGGAGAGCGGATCAGACCACTGCAAACCTACCACGACCCAGTCGTCCCTCATGGTCTGGGATGCTTTTCTTCAGCAGGAACAGGGAAGACAGCTTGAGTTGAGGGGAAGATCGATGGATGGAGCCGAATGCAAGGCCATTTGGGAAGAAAACCTGTTTAGGTCTACAAAGACCTCAGATTGGGATGGAGGTTTACCTTCAAACAAGACAATGATCCTTAACATAAAGCAAAAAAGTGGAATGGTTCAAAGTCCCACTTTTCAGTTTTTTTATTTAAAAGAAAAAAGTTTAAAATATTATATGAATTTTGTTACACCTCACGATTGTGTCCCACTTGGTGTTGACTCTTCACAAAAAAAAAATAATAATAAATCCAATTTTATATCTTTATGTTTGAAAACGGAAATGTGGCAAAAGGTAAAATAAAATGTTCAAGGGGTGGTTGAATACTTTTGCAAGCCAGCATATATCTTGTCTTTAATGTGCTACCGTGAGCAGTTGCTGACACTTTTACATCATCAATGCTTTTACACACTCGTGAACTTGCTGTCAGACGTCTAATGTTAAACTGTTGGGTGGCAGCTCATCACTGCGCTTTATCTTCGGATTTGGATGGGAAATGCCTGGAATTGAAATGCAGGACGAGTTCACAAATTCAAATATTCCCTTTGATGTATGATCACAATGTACTGTATCATTTCATGTTTGCACGTGTTTACAATCACGTTATTTGATCTGGAAAGCATTCATGAGCTCTATGACTGTTTGTGTGTCTGTCTGTCTGTCTGTCTCTAAGTAAGCACGTGGGGGCGCTAGAGCTGTATTGCTTCTCACCAAGACACCTTGACATTTGAGCTGGGGTTTTTTTTTGTTTTGTGTGTGTGTCTTAAGAGGATTATGGTGACAATGAGCCCAGCATGTTGCACAGAGTTTTGTTTTGGGATTCATCTATTGAGAATTAGGTATTGCTGTGGCTAGAAAATCATCATGACATGTTAAATGTCAAATTGTTACCACGCAAACCAGTAATCGTAATTACTGGAAACATTCTTCCTACTTTGGGTTCATGACAGAACGTCATCTGTGATCATCTTGTGAGATCATGTTGATCACGAGCTCCACGGTGTATTTAGTGATTGCGTTTTTCAAATATTTTTTTTTCCTCCCTGTTTCAATGTTATCTCAGTTATTGCTTTGTGAAAATGTCAACGCCGCATTATACTTGAGTAAACAAAGTGTAAAGATACACGGTCTCACTGTAATCACACGTCAAGTCTTTATACACGGTAAAAAAAAAAAATTTCAAAACTACCTCTTAAAACCAAACAATTGTATTGGTGATAGATATTATTTTCAACAGGATTTCCATCATTTTCATGGCATAATTTGATACGCTTTGCAAAATTCAGGTGAACTCGACAGAATAGGTCTGCAATGCAGTGGATTTCAGCACATTGACTGGTCATGCGTTCTCTCATGTGCTTGAAATCTGTAATCTTCATCGAGTACACTTTCTCTTTTGGCATCCCCCAGAAAAAGCAGTCGAGGGAAGAACAAGGGGACTGCTCCTATCTCCAATCTCGCCAGACTTTGTGGACACTCTGTATTGGAACATCATAAGCAGCAAGGATTGTGTGATTTTGTTTGCCCTGATGGGTTCTTATTGTACTTTTGGAGTTAAGAACAAGTTGTTAAAGTCTGAATCACTGCATTGCTCGTCTCGTTCAACAAAAATCGCACACGGTGCCTCTTATCAGACTTGCTGACAGAGTAAATATCTCCAAATTACCGCCTGAGGCGCGAATAGCTGTCTGGCTAAATGGTCAGAGGTCGTGAATTATTAATTACCTGCGGATTAAAAAAATTACCTTCCAGGAAGCAAAAGCTTTTCACATGACGGCAACAGCAATTTGAGGGTGATAATGGCTCCTCATCTCTTCTCTCGATCTCTTGAGCATAAATTTGTCTCATCAAAATCAGTTTTGTCACGAACAACGGGCAATTGGGGTTGATTGCCTTTAAAGCTCTTGCGAATAATCACGTTCCTGTTTTCATGGATTCACGCAAGTGTGACTTTGTTGATTCAAATCAAATTTAAAATGTTAAAATGGATTCCCACCGTCCCCAGTGTGAGAATTACAGGCAGTTCCTGCTAAAGGGGGTTTGCCACGTTACATAGGTGTCACTTTTGCTGCCCAGACCAATGTCTTCTTTGATTGACAGCTGGTTCCTAGTGTTCGAGCACACTAACTTAAGAGTGGCTTGGTGGCTTGGCTCTCACAATCACCTTGTGACCATGAACGATGTTGTACACTCGCGCAACCTGAAAGCTGTCTCACGAAGCGTCCCTTTACAAAGACTACAATGCTCCCGTCTTTATTGACACCCGTCATACAGCCATTCATTGAATTCACCGGCATTTTCAAATGTAAGAAACATTGGGTGTAATAAATACATAACCAGCAAGTGATTTGCATCATCAACCAGCTATCTTCTCTCTCCCATATGCAAAGGAATGTCTCATCGGACCTAAATTCATTTGGTTGATTACCTCTCTAATGGAGCGCTCCAATTCCCATTGGTCATAGTGTATCACCATAATGATAATCACAAGTAACCAAGGATCTATTAAATCTTTCCGGGTGTGTTTCCACGATGAACATTTCAACTGTCTGTCTATTTGAGTACCTACAGCTAATTCGCGCTCCGCAAAGACATAATGCGGTTAATCATGTTGACGGGCCAAGTACGTTCACATCCCCCCCAGGCTGGATGTGTTGGAATGTGTAAGCCTGTTGCATGGACAAATGGGAGCATGACATTTACACTTCTGCATTAAATGAGGCAAAGTGCAATGTTTATTTCTCCGCAGACGTTCTGAAACCTTGTGCTTCTGATCTTAAATGCTCAACCAGCGTTACTTTTTCATAAAGTGGCATGGAGCTATTTATATGGGGGGAAGTGACAAGTTTCCATTCCTCCACTCTTCTTTGAGAGGATCGCACCCAGTCGCTGATGGAAGAATCTTTCCTCGATCACAGCTGGCTTGAGATGCCATGACTGCGCTGGAGTGGAAAGCTCAGATTCTGATGGAGCCACTTAGGTCTGACCATAGCGTATCTGGACAGCAGCACTCAGCCCTTGTCGTACTGTCTCAACCTTTTCTTCCCCATCAGATATGAGGAAAAATAGAGCATATCATGCCTCCTTGTCTACTTGATGACTGACGATGCTCTCAAAGCTTTGGTGGTTTGATACATTTTCGAGCAACCTTGGCGAAATCGGCAAGCGGCGAGTCTGGCGGCCGCCTCACTAATGATGGACTTTTTCTGGGTCCCTTGCAAAGTCAAATGAACTAAATACAGTCTATGAAGGGCTGGGAAGCTTCACACTGGCAAATAAGATTCAGTGAGAACAGTTGTAAGCTGTTGGGTAGGAGGACAGTGGATGATTTGTTCACTTGTTCAAATATTCAGCATTTTTCTGTGATTAAAAAAAAAAACAACTCATGTGCAATCATGTATCTGGTTCTGTACAGCCACAGAAGCGCTTGGACGAAAAAATAGGACACTGAAAGCTGACATTAAAATAAAAAAAGCCTACTCTTTTGAGGGCACAATCTGAATTAATGAGACATTTTAAGTCAATCGTTGTCAGGCTGTGCTCAACGCACCCTGTGGACACTTCAATGTCAGAGCAAAAGCACATTATTGTACACAATCATTTGTCACTGGTGTAGTACCCTCCAAGGTTACGCTTTTGTAAACCGGACACTTAACTCACTCTGACGGTGTCAATTAAAAGCGACTTTTTGATAGAGCATTATTTAAAGAGGGACTTGTGTGTCATGGAATTTATTTTATTAACATGAATACATCCTGGTTTGTCTCGATAACTCATTGTGTGTGGGTGCTGCATGCCACCCTCATTTTGAAATCCAGCAGCCTGTCCAGGTCCAGGAGATTTTTCAGCTGTAATGTCCGTGTCCTTGCACGGCAGTGAAGCTTTGCCCGACGTTAGCCCTCCTCAATAATCTCAGTGCAATCTTGAAGGTAAACTTTCAGCATGTTTGGCTTTGCTTGTTGACCTTTTTAGAAGTGTAATTTCTGGGTTGAAAATGTCATGTGACCATCTTCGTCCTGCAAACTTTAAGAAATGAAAAACGCCCCTTGAATTCATTGACAAAAAATTTAGGCTACTGTATTCATGGAATAATTAAAAGGTGTGATTCTTCTTTTTCTTTGGAATATAATGCAAATTAAAATTGCACAAATACTTGCTGTATAACTGTCCTCACACTCTGTCAGTGAGGAACTGAGAGGTCCGTCGGTACCTGACCCGCTTAGTCATACATTGACGGATGAAAACCCAGTTCTGTCAGTGCTTTGTCATTTTAAAAATAAATTTGTCGCCATTGATCAGAAAATCTGTGAACCTTCCGTCAGTACTGATGTAATGCCCATCTTTGCTATTTTGGGTGCAGTTTTGATTCGTTGTGCCAAGCTATCAAAAGTTGGACTGAAAGTTGGATACTTCATTCATCCAAGATGGCGGCATAGTTGGCAGACGTCGGCAAGAGCTCTTCAAGAGCTTTGCTTTTTGTTGTTTTTGTCATATGGTGTTTGTTGTCCTTCGTGTGGACCCGGTGTGGACTGTTTTCAGCGTTTTGGCCACGACATTCACAGGAGAAGAATCTGTGGTTGCGCCTTCTTGGCAGCACTCGTGTACCAGCACTGATTTTGATTGGGAGGAATGTTGCCGCTATTTGACGTCGCTACTGGACAGCCCTAAGGTGCTTGTGTTTTTTGCGCCTGTAATGGGCAGCGTTTTTCACAGCCCCGTTTTGCTGAGCGGAGATGTTGGCGCTGTTGGAACTGTCTGTGTTGGTGCCGGTGGATGAATGGCTGCTGGAGCTGAGGATGAGGAGAGAGTAACGTCGGCGTAGAGTGCGGATGTGTATTTGGAACTGAGAATCAGCCCTTGGAATTGAAGCGGATTTACATGGGACAGGAAAAGTGAACCAATCTCTTTTCTCGTCAACAGACGAAACAGCTTCTTGTTTACGTTCAAACGTAGCCTGTAGCAGACATGTGGGACGTCATGCACATTTTGAGCATGACGTTTCTGATCCACTGGTGAAAGGACACTTTGATTCTCTCCTCTTTCATCTAGAACTGCTTCAAACAACAAAGCGTATGCAGGAAAAGTGGTGAAGAGTGCATGACTGTCCGTTTCTGATGTGTTGTGTTATATTATTTTGTCATTTTATGTTAACTGTTCCATAAAGAGCTTTGTTACAGGCGCACCTGTTGTGAAAATGCGATATAAATAAAAATGTATTGTATACTATAGACAGTTAAAAAAAATGAACAAAAAAAAAAGCGCATTTCAGAAACTGCACTTTTTACTTAAGTACTGTAGCTGTACTAAAGTAGAGAGTGAGTACTTTTGTCGCTGACATGTAAGAATCATATGGAAACTAAAATTATGAACAACCAGCTGGCTGCTTCAACCTGCAAGGGTTCATAAAAAAAGAAGGGAAAAGCAAAAGTTTGTGGAAAAAATGCTTATCGAAAACAACACAAGTTATTGGACAATGACTCAAAACACTTTCTTTCTCAATGACACTGGTGATAAATTAGCGGGCCAGAAAAACTTACCTCACCCACTTCCCCTGTGATATGTGTCCCCCCCTCAAGGCTCAGTTCTCTGCAGCAGTCAGGAAGTTCACACTACTAAAACACAGTTTGAAAAAATAAGATGTCAGTTCATTAAATTCTATCTTCTCTACATCTTCGCTTGTCCGTTTGTTGAAGATGAAATAGTAGTCGAATGGTCAGTGAAACCCCAACAAACGTGCACCGCCCTTACGAAATGAAAATACATTGCAATCGACTAGACTTTATATATACATTAGAAAATACATCTCAATGGATGAGAAAGTTGGTCATACATGTGAAAATAGAGAACAACAGGCGGATGGATGGTAAGCCTATTGCTATATATTGATGAATATATTATAATGTATAAAATTGCATTGCTGTTCAAACAAATATTGATAACATTATTGCATGCTGAAACAAATTAAATTTATGAGTTAACCACCTTCATACATAGATGTGCAGAGCGCACATTTTGCATGACATTCATTATATTTATATTTGTGTTATATGATGTGAAGTTGACACAGAATATGACAGCAGCAGCAGCAACAAAAATAATGCTGCTGTGTTCTTCATGTGGTCAAATGCATTTGAGAAAATAGCAGCCAAATTACTGCAAACATTCGAAACAGGTGGTTGGTGAGGCAAAGTAAGCACGAGGGAACCAAATCAAGTCGCTCTGGTATCAAATATTGCCCCAAATAGGACAGACCCTCAGCAAAACATGTATATTCAAATGAAAAATAATCAATCACATCATCATCAGCAGCTACCCAAAGGCAATGGGAGAGGGCCACTACCCCTGGCAGCATGACCAGGTGCTGAAGGCAGTAGCTCAAGCCATCTTCCAGGGAGTAGCCAATTACAACAATACTCAGAAACACCATGACAAGATAAGCATCACCTTCACGAGGGTGGGAGAACAGCCACGACCACAGAGCAAAACAGCAGCCGAATGACTCATTGCAGCAACAAGAACAGACCTGGCAAGCAGCTCAAGACCCAAGAGCACATTTTATCCACATTATTGAGGCCAGACATTGTGCTTTTGTCCATCTCCTTAAGGCACGTAAGGCAAATTGGTCATTAGTGGGGTGGCACAAAAAGAAAAATGTCTTTGAGGGTACTCCAGACTTATTTGGTATTTTTAAAGCTTTCTTTTCTGTTGAGTTTTTTTTTTTTTGTTTGTTTAGAACAGGGGTGTCAAACATACGGCCCGCGGGCTTATTTTATTTTTTTCTATGTGGATGTTTTCTAATTTGATTGGGGAGATGTAAAATGTCTTCCCAATTCTGGAATGACCCACTTTATGTTTCAACTTACATTTCATAATTACATCTTGAATTTCTTTAAAATCCAGGCCCACACTCAATTAAAGCAAGAATTTATGCCAATGATGCAGTCCGCGGAAATGAAACCATCGATTTCAAAATCAAATAAAACAAAGTGTCACATAAGCAGCCACAAAGAAATAAAAGCATGAATAAAACAAAATAGGAACATAAAACGTGCACCTGCATGAACACGTACGCACATACACGACATTAAAATAAACCAATCAAAAGAGTATTATTTTGGAAAACCTTTTTGAATTGTAATATTTATGTCATGAATAGGACGTGTGCGCAATCCGCTAGTTCGTGCAGTGGCGTTATCCTCACACGATACTTGCAGTGTGCAAGCCAACCACGTGATTACATCCATCCATCCATTTTCCGATCCGCTTATCCTCATGAAGGTCGTGGGGCGTTCTGGAGCCTATCCCAGCTGTCTTCGGGCAGTAAGCAAGGTACACCCTGACCCGGTTCCCAGCCAATCGCAGGGCACACAGAGACAAACAACCATCTGCTCTCACACTCAGACCTAGGGACTATTTAGAGTGTTCCATTAACCTGTAATGCATGTTTTTGGATCGTGGGAGGAAACTGGAGTACCCGGAGAAAACCCACGCAGGCACGGGGCGAACATATCAACTCCACACAAGAAAGTCGGAGCCGGAATGGAACCTTGCATCCCTGCACTGTGAGGCAGACATGCTAAACAGTCGACTGCCGTGCCATGATTAAATCGACCGTTTTTCATTTGATTATTTTAGATTTATGTCTGAAAATAATACAAACATTTACTGTAATTATGACTTTCCGACCGTGTTAGCATAGTGATAGAGACTAACATACAAAATCGTGTTTTCACCTTTCGTGGGTATGGAGTTCAGCTCATATTATACAACCTTGCCCAATATTAATAGGTTAACAAGTCATATCTCAGTTGTCATATGCTCAGAGTAAAAGAATGGGGTGTGTTGGGGCGGTCACAGGTAATCACTCACCCACACTTGAACACACGCATACACAATTTTCAAATGCGTATTCCTTATTCTTTCATGCACCCATTGTCTGCACTGCTTATCCTCATTCGGCTCCTTTGTGTGCTGGAATACAAAATGTGATTTGTGCAGGCAACAAAAAAAAACAAAAAAAACATTTTGAACCGTGAAGAAAAAAAAAAACACTTGCTTGACGCGTACTTGAAATGAAATAGTCAATTTATATTTGAGTCATCCTCCTTTTCATAAAATGAGAGCCACACTTAAATGATCCCCTTGCAGCGAACCAGAAATGCCATCTGCTTTTGTGTTCCGTCCTCATTTTATCCAGGAGTGTGCAGTCAGCTGTCAGTTAGAACCAAAGAGGACTATTTTCAATTCACAAGGGTAAAATACGTACATGCAATGTTTCATAGACACACCATTGTTAGCTCTCATCTATTGGACAATGTCAGCGATGGGGTGTTTTTAATATACAGTAGTTCATGTGATGCGTAGCATTAAACATTCTGTTTTCTTCATCACAATAAACATGACAAGGGGGAGAGTTTGCAACCACAAAGTAGTTACCAGATGAGCAAACGGTTAACCTAGCACCTTCTATATTTTCTCGTACTAACGCTCCAATCAATTCTATGTGTGTAGCACACTTAAGACATATTGGTGAGACATGTTGTACAAGCGCTTCGCAGAACCAGTTGCTTGGAATTCACTCAATACAAATCACAGCATAAGAATCACTCAACAGAATTTTTGGGGTGCATCCTACAATCGGGTCTTTTCTAACTCCGATGTCAAGGAACACAAAAAGCTCAAATTTGATTGTCAATAGGTATGCGCTGTGCGTCAAGAAAGACAACAACAGGGTTTGACCAAGCAAAAACTGAATACTTGGTTATTCAGTTGGTCATTGGTTAATTACCTCAGTGATGGATATATTTCAGCTAGGATCACATGATTTTTTTTTTTAACCCTGCATTTATGACTTCCGTCTCATTTCTTGAACAACCATGCTTACTTACTTCTTAGTAGGAGCATTTCCACAGCCAAATGCAGAGACAACGAGAGGTGTGCATCCTTCATAAAACCACTTACCAGCGAGAGAGGTGGTTTACAAAAAAAAAAAAAAAGGGGCGGGGGGCTTCTATTAACTGCACATTGAGAGGAAAATATTGGTCTCTGGGAAAAGGTCATGTAGTCTGGAGGGTAAAGATTGATGAGATTGTGTTTGCTATAATCAACGCTACTGTAAATGCGGTCGAACAAAAATGTGGGTATGGGATTTATTTGCCACGCAGTGTCTGACTTCAGGACTAATACTTAACTACCACTCCTTTACACAGATTCCCCTAATGTAGTCAATCGGGAGAAACTAATTTTTGTCTTTGACCTCGGTACTGTGGAAGATACCTCCACATCCCAGAGAGCGACACGAAATGAACACTTCAAAAAAGTCACCTCATCACGAGACGTTTGGAGCAATGTCAAGACATTTTGGCTCAAAACCAGCAGCTGCCTAATGTCATTGGGATTGATTCCGAAAGATCAGCTGGTGTCGACAGCAAATGTCATGCCGCTCTATCAAACAGTTTTCCAGACAGTCCAGACCGGAGGGACACCCGAGCAGTTGGCAATGTCATGTCAATCATTCATTGGCAGGGTAAAGGAGCATGGGGTGTCATGTGAACACAAGATAACAAAGAACTATGTGTGAGTGCAAGTCACTTGAAAGGAATTTGACTTTTATTGTGATAAGGTTTTTGATTTAGTTTGTTTCCTTCGTACAAGCTACTGGACACTGAACAGCCAAAAATAGCCTTTCATTTGAGTTCATTATTTTGGGTAGCTAACAATGCACACTTCTCATGAATTTGTAAAAAAAAACAAAACACGTTTTTATGTATTTTTGCTTTTGAAAGAGTCCTTATGAATTGGTGGAAAGCTGTTACTTGAAGCAAATTAATGAAGATGCAGGGAGGAAAAGAATTGTCCCACACGTCACATTAGGATGAATCATAATGTTTGTCAAGGTGGCATTTTGTCAAGAGCTGGAACCAGGGCTATTGATGCAAATGAAAAGTGAAGCTTCCAGAGAGTTTGTTTGCAGCAGGTCAAGCACATCCATTTAAAATGTCCTGTCTATGGAACAAAAAAAGGACCTTCAACTTTTCCAATTAATTTCCTGCCAGTTAAATAATCTTCCTTTCAGCTCTCTCGCTGTGAATTGAACCAGCTAATACTTTTTGAGTTTAAGTAAATGGATAGTTACGGTTCATCAGTCTCCAAAATGACAGCATGTCTCCCACACATTTCATTTCCTGAGTCTTTGTTTCAGCAACTTGTTATTAATGTTCTCCCTTACCCCCATTGTCCGCCTTTTGGATATGCCATCTCTTATTTTATTAGAACAAACTTCTATTCTATTTCAATCCGTGCTGCAAAATAAGCATCATTGATGTTGGTTTTCTGGGACCCATCTACCTCCCCGTGTGAGGGGACGATACTGACTGAGCGTGTCATTGATTTGACCCAGCGGTAGTGACATATTCAAACTCTCGCACCATGTTGCCCATCTCTCCATGCAGAGTTTTTGGCGGGCGACAGTACAAAAGTGGGATCAATGCAGGTCGCGGCTGATTGATGGGACACACGCAACAAATGCTGCTGAGAGACTGCAAAGAAGGCCACCGTAAAAATAAATGAAGAAATAAACCCAGCCTCAAGTGCCTGGCTGAGGAGGAACAGC